TTTACTCGTACCGCAATGCATGATCCCGTGACCAGACACTTGAACACTTTGAGCTCATTATGATGATGCATTACCGAGTGGGCCCAGTGATACCTGTCCGTCATACGGAGTGACAAATCCCAGTCTTGATCCGTGTCAACCCAACAGATACTTTCAGAGATACCCGTAGTCTACCTTTATAGTCACCCAGTTATGTTGTGACGTTTGGTATACCCAAAGCACTCCTACGGTATCCGGGAATTACACTCATGGTCTAAGGAAAGGATACTTGACATTGGAAAAACTCTAGCAAACGAACTATACGATCTTGTGCTATGTTTAGGTTTGGGTCTTGTCCATCACATTATTCTCCTAATGATGTGATCTCGTTATCAATGACATCCAATGTCCATAGTCAGGAAACCATGACTATCTGTTGATCAACGAGCTAGTCAACTAGAGGCTTACTAGGGACATGTTGGTGTCTGTTATTCACACATGTATTACGATTTCAGGATAACACAATTATAGCATGAATAAAGACAATTATCATGAACAAGGAAATATAATAATAATGCTTTTATTATTGCCTCTAGGGCATATTTCCAACAGCACCCCTGGGTGGTAACACCATGACTAGCCCTTGAATCGGTCTTCGAACTTGGCCACATCTTGGGCAAAGTTGATATGAGGCACGGACTTCTACAAGCTTGCCAAGATCATAAACAATTCCCAAGGTTCCCTCAGAGTGAATCTACATCATCAATCCGGTTGAGAGAATGGGTTGTGTATTATGGCCAATTTCTTTAGTCGGTATGCTCTTGGAATCCTACCTACCGATATGGGTGGCGGTCGTATCTAATCCTGAATTGTTGGTATAGACGCCGAACTACAGAGGAAAGTTCTCCCGAGAAACTGGCTTCCCGCGAAGTACATGCGAAATCTTTCAAAGTTTTGAGCCCGGGCCCTTTGGAATAGACATACTAGTCTTCGGTCTAGCTGGTCGAGCCAGATCATCTCGATCGTGTTGATCGTCGGTCACGTGACATGCGCGAAGGGGTGCGGGGCCCATTAAGGCCATGCCTTGTCAACCATGATGACGTGACTGGATGGCACACCTTGACCCTTGTGTGCATTATGTGTGCGTTAGTGAGATATGAGGTAGTTTATGATGTCGTGCGGCACGGTGTTATTGTTGTTGTTTTTCAATTCATAGGGGTTTATAAGGGGAAAACTACCAAGCAAGGTCACGACGCTTGAGCATTTGCTTCTCTCCTCCTTCTCCATCTCTCAACCCCGAGAGCTCAGCCTTCATTTCCTACTTTGCCCAAACCTTCTCGCTCTCCTTGCTCCATGCTCTCCTTCACGTGCACTCTCCTCCACCGTCATCCAATGGCCTTGAAATTGACCAAGATACATCCGGCCAAGGGCGGTGACATGGGCAAGAAGGTTATCCACGACAAGGGCGTCGCCGGCGGCAAATGGAAGTTGAAGGTTGTCTCTGACATGAAGGGGAAGTGTATGGCTTCCACCGCCATTGAAACACATCTCCAGCACCTCTTTGAGCTGGGGTACTTGCTGTCGTCAGGAGTCACCGACTTCCTTTCATGGGCGGTAGAGTCCGAAGACGGTGAGGAGATTGCCAAAGTCATTCTGCAATCGCGTGTAGATGAACGGGTTTGTTTCACACCCTTCATAGAATCAAAGAAGTGACATGGGAACACTTCTCTTCTTCTATCCTTGAATTGGATCTATCTTACTCTATGTGGTGGATGGATGGAATGGAGTGGAGCGAAGGGAGGTGTGTGACTTGGGGTCTGTGAAATCGATATGATGGATGTAGCCACGAAAGGGTATGTGAAAATATTATAGAGGATCCAAAATCTAACTATTACTCGAAAAAGTAACTAACTTAGAAGTACCGGAAGAAAACTTACGGAACTACCGAGACAGATCAAATAAATTTAAACGGACAAGCTAAATTTAGAAACTAGACATAATACAATACTCGGAAGTATTGATAGAAAGATAAATGGTGGTTCCGAATGAAAAAATGTAGTTGTTTTCATGTGAAAATAGAACGGCTCAGAAGTACCGGGTAAACCAATTTCTTGGTAGTACCAAAATAGACATATCATTTCTAAAAAAGGATCCACAAAGAAAGACTGAGTCATAGCTCGAAAGTTCCAGTGAAAAAAAAGGTACCAAATTTATACTGTGACTCACAAAGAAGCAAACGAGAGGGATGAAAAGTGCTAACGAAAAATCTCATACTCGGAAGAGCTGAAGCAAACAAAGAATGTTTCAACTGAGATTGGCTCCGTAGTTCTGAAATGTTGAAACTAGGTTCTCTGAGTATGAATAACTCTAGGTGACTCGACCAGAATACACCATTGCCGTCTTCTTCTTGTTGTGCTCTCTTGATTGATTCCCGTATTCACTGACTTTCATATTGTCCCGTCAGCCATACATGCTGCCTCACGGCGACATCTTCTCTACAAACAAACACAGATCCATATCAAGCTTTTCTCCTCTAGGTAAACACATCGCGACCACCAAACATCAAAACTCGCTAATGATACTACTTGTTAAAAATCTGAGGGGCGTAGTTGATTATTTAAGGACAAACAATCATACAAGAGGCACAACACCGAGACTCGTTAATGAGGTTCACCATACATTGACTACGTCCCAGGGATGACTGCGGACACTCCTTCCCGTTGATACCGCTACAATATTGCACACCGTTTGTTCGGGCCCCGCCAAATGCCGCCGGCTCCCTTGCGTACATGTACTATTATGTTGCGCACGTTATGTTGTGTGTCTACCCACGAGAAGTGCAGACATCTGAACCCGCGGCATCCACGGCGCACGGCCCTTCGCGATTCACACCAGGATAGTGCTAGTTAGAGTATAGTGGGGCATTGGAATTCTGTTTGCAACGTATATTAAGCTGAAAGCTGACAGCACGTTCTGACATAAGGCACTGTATCATGCGACTTTTGGCTCGAACGCGCAGGATCACGGACCATGCAACTTTTGGGTGTAGGAGACCAGTACGCATTCTCGGAGACCGTGCAGGTGGGTGCATGAACGCCGGTGATTGGATCCGGCCATTTCCTGAACACGGCGTCGCCCGGAGAAGGACCGCCGCCGCTCAAACAACTTGAATCACTTCGTGCTCGGGGACGAGGGGTAGATTCCCAGCTCTGCCGGTAAGCAATCCAGCTCCCTTAGCAGCGAACAGCAGGGAACCAATCTGACATCCGAACACCATGAAAAAAGAACGAGAGCAGGCTGGGAGAAGACGAAGCAGGGATTCACTCACGCGTCAGCCATGGCGGCTGCCGCCTCCTCTCCATTCGCCGGAACAAGCTCCATTCGGGACATTGTATCTGTGTCTCAAGTCAGAATTGGTGTGTGGGGGCGGATGTGCAGGCACGCCGCATGCACATAAGATACACGCCACCCTTGTAGTGTGGCAGAGAGAGACGCCTTTTTGTGCACCATCACTCACCTTTATATCTTTTGTGGACCATCCTCGTCTGCCAAGACAGGCATCCCGTACGCCCTGGCCCTGTATTTTCTATTGTATCTTGACTAAATGCTGGACCAACAATGCATATGCGTAGATCACCGTGATAAAAGTGTGTGGTTGGATTGCAGCGTTCAGATGCCGCTGCGTCCAGAACATCCACTCTCGTCTACCCACACATTATATAGGAGGCATGGGTTACATACGTCCTATTCAAACACAACTTATCTGTCTACATGTCCAACTTTAAGTTCAACCATAGCCTCTTGTACAAAATATTCGACAATTTTTGTTTCTTGAGGTAAATATTCGACAATTTTAACATGTGCATGTCGATTTGGTACTCCAGGTTGTTAGAATAAACTATGTATCAAAGTTCCTATGGCGATTGATTACTGCGAGGAGCAATATGGGGTTGCTGGAGGATGAGTGAGGTAGTGGATTTGAATGTTCCAGAATCCACTTTGGTATGTGGGTTACCTTTACCCGCTGATGGCAATTCACTCACGCTTCACACCCAAACAACAAGAATCTCCACCCCCACCTCCTACTCGATCCATCACACACATAGCTAGCTTAGCTTAGCTCCCTACTTTGTGAAAAAGCGGGATGAAATAGAAAGGCTGCTTTCCTTGGTTCCTCCTTTCAATCCTAGCTTGTGCTCCCTTCATTCCTAAATATAAGTCATTTTAGAAATTTCAATGTAAACTATATATGAAGCAAAATAAGTGAATCTACACTTTAAAATATATCTATATACATTCGTATATAATCTTTATTAAAATCTTTAAAATGACTTATATTTAAGAACGGAGGGAATATGATGATTGCAATCTAGCTTGAAGCGAAGGAGCGCTTGTGTGATCTTAGCTGCTGGCTAGTTCACCAACCGTGCATATACACACGCATCTTCCATTGCGGCTTTAGCATCTTGTGATGTGATGTGGTTCATGTAGCCTAGCCAGCCATCTTCCACAATCTCCATCAGGGCAGGCAGGCAGGCAGGCAGAGGGTTGGTGCCTTTCTTCTCTTGTGTCTTGATAAAAGGAAAATAGAGGAGAGAAAAGCATGATGGTTGACGAAGCACGAAGCAAAGCAAGAAACCATGCATACACCATACTTCATCATAATAACTAGCATGTAACTGAAAAGATGTCTTTACTAGTACTTCCTCCGTTTCAAATTACTCGTCGTAGAAATGGATGTATATAAAATTAAAATACATCTAGATACATCCATACTTGCGACAAATAATTCAAAACGGAGGGAGTAGTATATCAACTACTACAACTAACCAGAGAAAAACATTAAAACCTAATATGATGATTGAGACTTCACTGATTGTACTACCCCACTCACACACCTTAAATCTCAGGCCCTCGGACAGACCCTCCCCACTCTTGTGCTCTGTTCTCTTGCGCTACTAGCTAGCTTGCTGGGCAGCTCGGCTAGTCAGCTTGCTGGGCACTCCATCTCTGATCTCTCCATGTCCCTCATCACCGATGACCCCGACCACTCCCCGCGGGACTGCGCCACCAAGCGCCGCCACCACCACCACCACCACCACCACTCCGGTGGCTGGCGCCAGCGACGGCTGCTGATCGCGGCGGCGTCGGGCGCGGCGTCGCTGCTGGCACTGTGTATCATCCTCTGGCTCACCCTCCGCCCCTCAGCTCCGCGCTTCACGCTGCTGGCCGCCACCGCAACCTCCTCCAACGCAAGCACCGGAGGCGGCCTCGTGCGCCTCGACGCGGCCCTCATGGCGCACAACCCCAACGCGCGAGCCGCCGCGCTCTACGACGGCCTCCGGGCGCGCGCCTCCTACGCGGGCTTCCAGCTCGCCACCGCCGGGCCCCTCCCGCCGTTCCAGCAGGCCCAGGGCGAAGCCGTGCTCTCCGCCTCCCTCTCCTCGGCGGCGGAGGCGACCGCGGAGGAAGCAGCCGATGGACGGTCACCGGCGTTGCTGAGGCTGCGCATAGAGGGGCGGCTCCGGTGGAAGGTGGCGGCCTGGGTGTCCGGCGAGTGTGCCCTCGCCGCCGAGTGCGTCGCCGTCGCGGCGCCGTCGCAGCTCAGGGCCGTCGTCGTGCAGGGCACCGAGTGCGCCGTCACCATCGAATGAATAATAATTCTACACACGTATACATTATCTGCATCAGTCAACTGATGAATTACTTTAATTAACGTCTTTGCAAGTACTAGCTAGGAGAAGATCGACGGGATTAGCGTCTGCTTAATTACAGGGCTATTATGTTGTTGTATACTTGGGCCAACTCTAACCGATCCTTAAACATTAACGGAGTAAAAGGCTTAGGCTGGCCACAGTGAGAGTAACATCACACTTTTCAAGATAATTTTGCTTATGTGGCACATATTTAATGATGAAAAAGGTGATGGTGGTAACTTAGCTAGTTACTGTAACATCACACATAACAAGACAATATGAGTCTATAGGCTAATAAATGAACCATAACATAACAACACATATGTTACTACCCACTGTGGAGGTAGTAACATAGCCTAGTAAAATGTAATGTTACTAGTCTAAGTTACTTCCCATTGGGACTAGTCTTAGTGGAGTATTGATAGTAAATACTCCATCAAGTTATGGTCGGACCTAGTCGGTCCTCTAAACCTAGCGAAGTAAAAAAAATCATTTGCATTTCAATTTTGGCCATCGAAACACATTTCTTTGCTTCTTTATTTCATTTAACGACATTGAATTACATAATAATTCCTCAATTCTTTGCTAGAAGAGTAAGATTAAAGAAAACAAAAACCATAATTAGATATTTTAGAAAATATCCAACTTCCATAACTGCTCTCACTAGTCGGGTTAATATTTTCTCGATGCCTTCATTATTGATCTGCGGATTCTCGATTTTTTTTCGCGAATATGCAAAACTTGCATATTATTCATTGATAGGTAGGAGAGAAATAACAGAGGTGTACATGAGAAAATGAGAGGAGCACCACATAAGGTGTGGGAAAAACAAAGGCATACATTGATATGCGGATTCTTGATCTTGCATACTCCATTCTTTTTTTTTTGATTCTAAAGAAGTAGACGTTGCTTCCCCTCTATTTTTTTCTCTAATCTCACATCTAGTCTCATGTTTAGCCTCAATTCTAGCAACGAGTGCACGGACACTAATTTTCGTGCTACCAATAGATCGATGTATTCTTCTTCCCAATACCAAAACAAGCATCCATCATCCTACACACATAGATGGGCATCAATGAGGTATCGAAATTAAACCGAATCCGGTGAAAGTCTGAATCAAAACAAGCACATACCCCATCGATTGTGCATTTGAAGAACACCCATCCGGGATGTTTCGGTATGGTAGAAACTCAGTGCACCACTTGCCGTGTGCAGTCGTCGCATTGTATGACCAGCAGCTGCAAGCCGATGAGCCACTACGCGAGCGCCGAGCTCGGGAGAACCGACGGCGGGAGCGATTAGAGTGGCTAGCGGAAGAGCCGGTACCTGCATGCGGCGAGGAGGCTTTGTCGGGGTTGTGTGGGCCGCTTCCGAACAAATCCATGGCAAGGCGCGGCCGCCAGTGGCCGGAAACGCCAAATCCGGCGGCGGCGACAACAGACGCAGATCCCCTCAAGTTTTGGCGGTGGCGGGACGAGGAGGTGTAGGAGGACATCGGCGGAGGCCTACAAATCTTCCCCGACGGCTGGCCGGTGCCGGCGGGGAGAGGGAGGGGTAGGAGGGGCGACGGGGGCGAAGATGCCGCGCGGGAGGGGAGGGAGAGGCAGCAGAGGAGACTCGCGCCGTTTTACTTGACGAAGCAAAGAGGAAGTAAAAATAGGGAAAATACTAAGGAAAGGGGTAAATTTTTACTCCGTTAGGCCGGATTGGGAATCGGGTAGCGATTAATGAAGTAAAAAGCTAAATATAATCCACTAACCGATTATAGGGGATCGGTTAGAAATGCCCTTACTCTACTTAGGCCCTGACTGGATTGGCGTTTACTGGCACCATACCCCTACGGACCTTCATTAGTCGTTTTTCTTTCCAGTTAAAAAATCAAGTGTGGCCGTATTATACATATGTAAAATAAAAACATAAGAGAAGATTGACGTCACATGCACGTAGTTGCCTATCTTCTACTGACGAAAAAGCCCCCCCCCCCCGTGCTTTATATTATAAAGCACTGGCCAAAGTGTACAGTCACAATCACGAAATCCAACGTCATAAAAACATAGGTCTTTCTGGGGAACAACAATACAATCCCCAAAAGCGAAAGGAAAAAACCAAGCGACTAGTCCGGCGTCGGAGGAGGAGTGGGGGTGGAGGCGCACATGGCGGAGAGAGTCTGGCGGCGGTGGAGCGTAAGCCGACGATGGTCGAGTCGATGGCGTCGTGGTCGCGCCGCTTGCTAAGCGGCCTCCAAAGCTGTAGAAAGCCAGACATTGGAAAAGAGCATCAGTTACACGAGAAGGGATTATGCGCTCAATCACCAACTTATTGCGAGCGTTCCAGAGCGTCCAAAGGAGCGTCCCGATTGCTATCCAAACGGCCGGGCGCGCAACCGACAAAAAACTACGAGCTTCTGCGTACATGTCCGGGAGATTGTTGTGAGTCCAACTCCCACCTACAGTCTCATGTAGACAAGACTAGAGGAACCTAGCAGGAGGGAACGTAAAGAATATATGATTCGAGTCCTCCGGGGTGAGGCACAAGGGACACAACCTGTCGGATGGGCCATTGTGCTTGTGCAAAACTTTGTCCCAGACGGAAGTCGCTCTCGAACCAGTTGCCAAAGGAAGATCCTAATCTTCAGAGGCAATTTAATGTCCCAGAGGAGGGATAGCTCATCTGGTCCTGGTACAAACAAGATCGCATGGTAGAGTGATCAGGATGAGAACTGGTCGTTGGTCTCTAGCACCATCTAGTCGAATCCTCCTCAAGGGAAGGAGTGTGGACAACAATACATGCGACAAGATCTTCCTAGAGAAGAAGCTCGACCGGCCCGAAGGAACGATGGAAACCTATGTTACCAAATCCGCTAGGGCCACGACCACTGATAGCCTCGGATTGGCACAGATCTGGAACAAAGGTTGGAAACGGATGGTGATACATCTCCAACATATCTACTTTTCCTAATGCTTTTCCTCTTGCTTTGGACTCTAATTTGCATGATTTGAATGAAACTAACCCCGGACTAACGTTGTTTTCAGCAGAACTACCATGGTGTTGTTTTTGTGCAGAAATGAAAGTTCTCGAAACGGAACGAAACATTGCGAGGATTTTTTATACAATAAACAAGAATTTCTGGAGTCAAGATCCACCAGAGGGGGGCACCTGGGTGGGCCTGGCACGCCCAGGTGGGTTGTCTCCACCTGCTGGCCCCGCAGACCGTGAAACCGACGCTATAAAATCCTATTTTTCTAGAAAAAAAATTAGGGAGAAAGAATTATCGCAATCCACGAGACGGAGCCGCCGTCACCTCCTGTTCTTCATCGGGAAGCCAAATCTGGAGTCCGTTTGGGGCTCCGGAGAGGGGGATCTTCGTTCTTCGTCATCACCAACCCTTCTCCATCGCTAATTCCATGATGCTCCCCACCGAGAGTGAGTAATTCCTCCATAGGCTCGCAGGTCGGTGAGGAGTTGGATGAGATTCACCATGTAATCGAGTTAGTTTTGTTAGGGCCTGATACCTAGTATCCACTATGTTCTAAGATTGATGTTGCTATGACTTTGCCATGCTTAATGCTTGTCACTTTGGGCCCGGATGCCATGATTTCAGATCTGAACCGTTTATGTTATCACCATTATATCAATGTTCTAGATTCGATCTTGCAAGTTATAGTCACCTACTACGTGTTATGATCCGGCAACCCCGGAGTGACAATAGTCGGGACCACTCCCGGTGATGACCGTAGTTTGAGAAGTTCATGTATTCACCATGTGTTAATGCTTTGTTCCGGTTCTCTATTAAAAGGAGGCCTTAATATCCCTTAGTTTCCAATAGGACCACGTTGCCACGGGAGGGTAGGACAAAAGGTGTCATGCAAGTTCTTTCAGCACGTATGACTATTTACGGAATAGATGCCTACATTATATCGATGAACTGGAGATAGTGCCTGATACGTCTCCAATGTATCTAGAATTTTTTATGTATCCATGCCATGTTTATAATATTCTTACATGATTTTGGTATGATTTGGTTAGAACTAACCCGGACTGACGCTGTTTTCAGCCGAACTACCGTGGTGTTGTTTTTGTGCAGAAATAAAAGTTCTCGGAATGCGCTGAAAATCAACAGAGATTTTTTTGGAAAATATAAAAAATACCAGAACGAAAAGTTCTCGGAGGGGAGTCCCGTGGGCCCCACGAGGGTGGAGGGCGCCCCCACCCCCCGGGCCTCATGGACTCTCCGTGGGGCCCCTAACTTGTTCTCAACGCCAACCTCTCCTATAAATCCCCAAACCTCCAGAAAATAATCTAGATCGGGAGTTCCACCGCCGCAAGCCTCTGTAGCCACCAAAAACAAATCGGGACCCTGTTCCGGCACCCTGCCGGAGGGAGGAATCATCACCAGTGGCCATCTTCATCATCTCGGCGCTCTCCATGACGAGGAGGGAGTAGTTCACCCTCGGGGCTGAGGGTATGTACCAGTAGCTATGTGTTTGATCTCTCTCTCTCGTGTTCATGATTTGGCACGATTTTGATGTATCGCGAGCTTTTCTATTATAGTTGGGTCTTATGATGTTTCTCCCCCTCTACCTTCTTGTAATGGATTGAGTTTTCCCTTTGAAGTTATCTTATCGGATTGAGTCTTTAAGGATTTGAGAACACTTGATGTATATCTTGCGTGGGATACCTGTGGTGACAATGGGGTATTCTATTGATTCACTTGATGTATGTTTTGGTGATCAACTTGCGGGTTCCGTGACCTTGGGAATCTATGCATAGGGGTTGGCACACATTTTTTCTTAACTCTCCGGTAGAAACTTTGGGGCACTCCTTGAAGTTCTTTGTGTTGGTTGAATAGATGAATCTAAGATTGTGTGATGCACATCGTATAATCATACCCGCGGATACTTGAGGTGACATTGGAGTATCTAGGTGACATTAGGGTTTTGGTTGATTTGTGTCTTAAG